AAGTATGCCTGTGTTCTAGAATCTGACGAATAATGAATATGTGGTCGGTGCAGCCACGACCAGGTCTAAAGCCAGCTTGGTTCTCTCGTGTTTGCAGTTCACGAGTCTTAGTTAGGCGTCTGATAATTATCGAGGCTAGTATTTTAGATATTATATTAGTTAGACTAATCCCTCTGTGGTTGTCACAGGATGATTTTGACCCTTTCTTATATATTGGGACGATAAGTGATTGTGACCAGTCAGATGGGATTACGTCCAACTCCCAGATTTTAGCTAAAATATTAGTCAACCTAATCGCTAAAATTGGACCACCATCCCTAAAGACCTCTGGAGCCAATCCATCTGGACCAGCTGCCCTTCCTCGTTTCAGATTAACTATAGCCTTTTGAACTTCAGCAAGAGTTGGGGGACCTACTTCAATGTTCCATTCACACTGTCTGGGAATGGAGGGTAGTTGTAGAGTAGCTGAAGGCCAGCTGAACTGTTCTCTGAAATGTTCCGCCCATCGTTCTAAACGTCTGGACTGGGAGCAGATGAGAGTATCGTCTTTTTCCGAAATAATCTCACTTACACTTGACTTATTAATTCCAGTTTCTTTTATTAGTCTGTAAAGCTGTCTTGTGTTCCCTATAGTCGCAGCCTTTTCCATCTCTTTTGCTTTCGTTGCCCACCACTGCTCACGGTCGTTTCTTAGACTTTTTCTTAACCTAGATCTGATTTGTTGTCGCTCTTCATCATGTTCAGAACCTGATGGGACGAGTTTGCGAGAATCCATCAGTGTGATAGACTTTGAAGAAATCCACTGGTTCTTTGAAACTCTGTGGTTTAAGTTGCTAATAGATGTCACTGCTGCTTCCACAGCTGCTTGTATATCTTTCCAAGCAACATCTGGGTCAGCCTCGTCTTCAGAACTACCTAATCGTGACCTCAGTTGTTCCTGGAACCTACTTTTGGTTTCCTCGCTACTCAGTTTGGTTCTAATGGGTCTTTTTACTGTGGCTTTTTTGCGTCCAGTGAGGCGCAAGCAGATGCGTGCCCGTATTAGGGCGTGGTTGGAGTCCAAGAAGGTACTCCAGAATGAGCGACAATCTTGTACCGACCCTCTCCAAAGATGACTGATGGCAATATGGTCTATTTGAGTCCATCGTTGGTTTGGTGCAGGCGGTCGCCATGTTAGACGATGTCTCTCCTTATGCTTAAAATTTGTGTTTGCTAAAAATAAGCGATTGTCTGAACACAGTTGCAGCAGACGGTCACCATTATCTGTTCGCTGTGCCGGAATGCTAAAATATCCACCTAAATCCCTTTCTGTTTGGTTTAAGCTACCTATCTGAGCATTAAAGTCACCCCCTACGAGTACTATGTCTGAGCGTTTAGCTTTCTGAAGAAGTTCGGACAGCTTTCTGTAAAATTCATCTTTCACATCATCTGAGCTGCAGTCAGTGGGAGCGTAGGCAGAAACGACGAAAAGGCAACGACGTGTGTCCCTATCCTTCCGAGTTCTCACGGAGCCGTTTAGCCGAACAGCACATAAGCGACTGTTGACGGGGATCCACTCTAGCAGTGCTTGTTCCGCCTTCATGCTTAGTGCCATGCCTACACCTGCCAGTCCACGAGAACTGGCCATCGGGTCACCAGATACACGTAGGGTGTATCTCGTTGGTTCTCCGTTTTGCCGAGGTGAGGTCAAGTGAATGACCACACTGGAATCCTGTATGCGTGTTTCGGAGACACAGCATACATCAATTGAAAGAGACTCAAGGGTTTTAGCCAAGGAAGCCTGCTGACCGATTTGACATAGAGTGCGTACGTTGAAAGCTCCAATGTGTAGTTTGGAGCGAGGTTTCAGTAGACCTGGGACAGAGTTTTGAGCACTAGAATCGTTGGCTATGGTGACACTTGAGGAGGAAGCCGAAGGAGGAAGTTTAGGGTTGAAAGTCGATGTAGGAGGAATAATAGGAATTGAAGAGGAAGGTTGATTATGAATACAGTGGTCTTGGGTGCTGTTAGAGGTATGAGGGCGGTTATCACTTCCCGGTTGCCCACACCGTGGAAGGGTTGTTCTGGAGGTACCTGAAAAGGAAATTGGATTAGAGGCGGTCTCAGTGACCTGAGAGCGTGACCGCAGTGCCCAAGGGGCAACTGCTTGAGGCCGGTCACACACGACCTTTTTGTGGAAGGTTTTTGACGTGTTAGCTCCGTTCTCCAAAGGGCCTTACCGCCGGAGACGGAAATCCGTGAGGTAAGGTGAGGTGTGCAGTTTTAGGGTCGACCTTTTCTAACCCCACCCCTCCTTGTGGGAAGGCAGCATCGCTGCTATGCTGGTTGTCCGAGGGAAACACCTTACTGCTGTCACACCTCTGTACAGTCAGCAGTACGACTTCTCCTTCGGACCTTGGGTTTGTTGCTTTTAGTCTTACCGCTCTTCAACCGACCTGTCTGACATGGTAGGACCTTGAGGAACGGTTGTTCCAGCCAGTATAGCTCGGTTGCTTCATCACGATAGGCAAGCCCGACCACCACGTCAAGGTAGCAACAACGGCCGTGGCAACTGACTTTCTCAAAACAAGTAACTGACACGCACACACTGAGAGAGACGAGTTAATGAATGTTGTTAACAAGCCATGAAAAACATGTGAGTGGGACATTGAGCTTTTCAAGCAAATAAAATTCAGGCAAGTAATATAAATAAATACATAGGTTGTCGCATTTAACCATACGTACTCATATGTTCCTGCATAGAGACATTTATATAATGCAATGATCTACTTTTTATAGACTTAAACAGCACAACCATTCTGTCGGACTGGTTTATAGAAGCGCTTAAATATTTTGATCATTTCCAGAGGGTATTGTATGACCCCTTGAACTACTGGGCTGCGGGGTCCAAGAGTCGTCATATGTGACGCAGTTTCCGATTTCGCTTCAAGTATTTCGTGTATGCCCAAAAATTCATGTGGAAGAATCTTATCTTCGCAATGTTTGTGAGAACTAATGAAGGTAGGTGGATCGAAAAGCGAAAAAACGAGAGAGGAGTGTGCACCAACTATAAGAACAGGCCCGGTGATCATAACGCTCGTTTCTTGTCTGCCTGTCCACCAAATGAAGACAATCTGCATATTGCCAAATGTTCAATATCATTGTGAAAAAGTCTGATGATTTTTTCCAATTGCCTGAATTTTGTAACTTCGTCAACATTGGTACAAGCTTTTAGCGGTTGCACATGGAATGACTCAGGAGATTCGAGTATTCGATCTCTGGATTCTATTCTCTTCAGATGTTACGAATACCATTCTCTCAGGGAATGTTTATTAATCAAATTTTCATGTATTCAAATTTTATCTTGTCAACCGCCCCTACGATTTCTCAATTAATACCACTGTGCAAAAGTCAACAGGAACTTTTCTCATTTCTTTGTTCATCCGGTGATATAATTATCATAAAATCGATAAAAGACTTTATGATGATTTCGTTTCATATGTTGAGATTTTTAATAAGCATTGCGAGAAGCTTAGGGTGCATTCACTTTCAGAAGAAGAATTTAAATGCTTTTGCTTTGTAAGCGGATTGCAATCATTGTCAGACTCAGACATTCCTACCAGAATTTTAACTATAAAATAGTCAGAAACCAGTCTTACCTTGTAAGGTATCACAAATGAACGTTGTCGTGTTAGTAATCTTAAGAACTATACTAAACTGATCGAATGTTCGAATTTTGGTAACATACCCTCCATTAATCCTTATTCATTTGATTTGATGAAATTTTCTGGTCAAGATCGTATTACTGATGTCTCAAAGTATGAATCATGAGAATTTTCTCCCCCAGCATGACTATTTATCATCCTGAGCTCTAATCCATGTCCCCCTTCAAGACCTCCCACTAGTTACTGAAATTGTGCGGCGTGACATTTCATCCGTCTCTGCCCACTCAGTAGTCACAAATGCGCAAACTGTAGAGTGGCAGACAATAAGTGGGGTTTTGCAAACGAAAACTCTTATCGCCGTAGAATCCAAACGACGGTTTGTACTGAAGAATAGCCGTTCAGGTAGGTTAGACACGCGCCCTTGCCCGTCAAAATCGAAACAAGTAATCGGGTAAATGACGGTTCTATAATTCATCATAAAATTAAATGTACATCGTTACCTAAATAAATATTACCACCCGGCTATTCAACCAATAATTTTTCAACCAATCAAATCTAAATTACAATAAATAAAGTTGATTAAAGATGCGGGAAAAATTATCAGTCACAACAAATGAACGGTATTCTATCCTGACTGGACGGAACACGCACAAAAGGAGGAGAAAATCAATATGGCTGCCTCCAAGAACAAGTATCAAGCAAAACAACACCGATGCAGTTCGGGAAGAAACACGAAAACTTAGTGAAGGCGTAAGAAAAATAAGAACTATAATAAAAAATACAAATATTAATAATTCAAATGTAATCAAAAAAACTAACAATGTACAACTAAGGGGATCAATGGGAACAAAGTGCAAGTGTATATATGGAGGGATTTTCACACATACCAAACATTCAAAACGGATCTTACAATCGCATTGTCGAGTGTCAGAAAGAATAAGTTTTGTACATGTTTTACTAAAGTTTAACCCTCAGTGCTTACGCAAATATGTATCCATTCGTGTTAATAATCATATTATCACATTGCAGCTCGACACAATATCCGATGTTTCTTTGATATCTCGCAAAAGGTGGAATAAACTTGATAGGTCAATCATTCGTCCTACTACCCATTGCACAAAGAATGCATCGAATATTCTAATCAAAATTTCTGGAATTATCAAATGTATTGTCAAATTTAATGATCCCATAATCAAATACAATCTAATCTTATATGTAATCAGGTATCTCTTTCAACTATCCAGCAAAAATTGTATTCTCATATGATTGACCAACTGAAGCAGAAGTTTTTCAATATTTGTCAAAATGATCTTGGCTTCTTGTGGTGTTTGAATGGACTAATGATACCTTGGTACTGGTTGAATGTTTTATTTCGAATTCTAAATACAGTACATTCGTTGTACCTGTGTCTTCTTAATTCAATTGCGTTAATCCTGGAATTCCTAACTCGTACGACAATTAGAATACTATATTGGCGTCGTGATGGAACCTGCAATGGAAAAGTTGGATATTCATTCAACTCCTGAAGCTATTGAGGATTATTTGGAAAGGTTCGAAATCTGGAGCATGACCAAAGAAGATGATGAGGATGTTAATATTGCGGCACACTTCCTCACATCCATTGGGAGAGAAGCGTACAGCTTATTAAAAACTTAAGCATATCCAGAAAAACCTATCTCACTCCCTTTTGCAACTCTTAAAGAGCTATTATTAAGTCATGTAAAATGCACCAGTTTTGAATGCCGTGAAAGGGCGAAGTTTCATAAGATGATTCGTCAAGATGACCAAAAGGCTCGGGAATTCATCCTTGAATTACAGAAACAAGCTGCCAAGTATAATTTCGGTGATCAACTTCATGTGCAACTGAGAGATCGATTAATTGCAGGAATTAACATACCGAGTTTGGAAAGAGAGCTGTTAAAAATGCCAAACTGTTCCTTTCAAGATGCTAGGACTGCGTGTATTAACTACGAAGCAGTGAATGAACTTGATATCCAGTCGATGAAGATTTCTAATACTTTGCTTAGTCGTCGTGATGAACTACAATCTCAGGGTCAATCAAACTTGCGTTCATTTAACAGTGATTCCTATTCTCGTGTAAATATGAAAGGTGTTTCAACGACGAATTACAAAGCAAATCACAAAGGTGAGATGAAGTTTGGTAAATGTTTATGTGGAAAGTTTCATGCTCGCAATCCATGTGTATTTCGTAATGCTGAATGTTTTAAATGTGGTAAGGTAGGACACATTCAGTCAGTATGCAAAGCTATTGTCCATTTTGCTTCAAGCTGTACTAAATCTTGTAATTTAAATTTCAATAATTCGAATGTTTCTAATGATCATTTATCTTTATCAACGACTTCAAAAGACAGTGCAGAGTCATATGACAGTTCAGAGTTAGATGAAATCCAGAATTCTTGTGAGACAACAGTTCCTAATCAACCGATTTATCAGAATTCTCATGCTATTGTACCAGGTATGACTTTTCCTAATGATTCACATATTTCTAATGAAATTACTTGCAATATTGAGGAAAATATGTTAAATGAACCTAATCATGATCGGAAACCTGATGTGGTTTGGATAGATGCTGGTTTTTCTAACGATCCTACGCTCTGCAATGACAGTCCTAATGAATTTCATGAGAATGTTTCAGAAGAATCAAATCCTGATGTCATATCATATATTACCTCTCCTCATAATGCATTCGATCCTTGTGAAAAACCTGCTCAATGCGAAGCACGAGTACTAAGTGTTCTCGAGTTTGATTACATTTCGGATGATTTCATATCAACTGCTGTTTACCCTTATCACAAAAACAGTTCTAATGTTTACTCTAAACAATGTGAGAAATATGTTTTAAATGAAGCCACATTATTCATAACCTGGGGATATAAAGATCCAACATTATTTCGTGGGGGAGGATAGTGTTGAAAAATCTATGGTCCGAATTCTAGATATTAATGATTTCATTACAAAACCGACATGCTGGTTGTATACAATTCCAGGTGAGTCTGTTCCGATTTCTTTTGTTAATTCCAATACTAATGAGCACTTTCTAGATACTACAAAGTTTTTATCTTATACAATGTCGGACAGACTCAGGATGAACTTAACAAGAAGACGTACAACCGATTACAAACACTTATACTTCTATTTAAGCTGTGGCGGATGTGGTGTTTGAATGGACTAATGATACCTTGGTACTGGTTGAATGTTTGATTTCGAATTCTAAATACAGTACATTCGTTGTACCTGTGTCTTCTTAATTCAATTGCGTTAATCCTGGAATTCCTAATTCATACGACAATTAGAATACTATACTTCTGTACTTAGATAAAAGCTAAACTACATTGTAAACCAGATGCTAAACCTGTTTTCCGATCAGAAGGCTTAGTTCTCTATGAAGCACACTATTTATCAGACAAAAGGCTGGACATAATGGAAGCTTTGAGTGTTCTTGAACTAGTTTATTATCCTTCATGGGCAGCACCAATTATGGTGGCAAAAAATGTTATGATTCATTTGGAACATGTGCTGATTTTTTAACTGAACTAAATGATCAGTTTCTACTTCCCACTCCAGATGATGTTCTCCTACAAATGAACGAAGGCATATTTTTTGCAAAGATTGATGTGGTACTCATATTAACTGATAATTCCTTTGCACCTGATTACGCTATCATTCCGAATTCCGAATGCAATCTATTCATTTGTGCTCATATAGTTCTACCTGCATTAGATAGCCCTATTTCGGGTATTCTTGGTTAGCACAATATTTCAAATACTTCCAGTTATCATATTGACCTCACTGATGCACATCCACAGTTAATAGTTGATGAAGCCTAAAAAGAATTGATTACCATCAATTCACACCGGGCCCCCTATCATTATACTCGTCCCACGTCTGAAGTAAAGTCAACCTCGCCCACATCTCATCAACTTATGGATGCAATACATACAGACCTCCAGAGTGTTTTGGCCCACATCGACAATATATTCCTTTTTCGTACAATCGCAGGAAAATTATTTCAGCGTTTGCATATGGTTTTCGTGAGTATTAAAGATTATGGGTTTGAATTAAAACCAGCAAAATATAGCTTCTTTACGACTTTAATCAAGTTTCTTAGATTAATCATCGATCTTTACAGAAAACTTTGTGATCTGGAGAATATTAAAGCCATATAGTGAATGTCACTACCATATGACGTCATCTTTCTAGGATCATTCTTGGAGGTAGTAAATCACCGTATCCAGTTTCTTCCATTTATGCACCAACATCATGCGGCTCTCAATGAACCTCTGAGTAGAGAAGTGAATTGATTCTGGTATCCTCAATGACAAATGAGCTCTGTTAACAACTAGAAAATGCTGTCTTCAAGTACGCTGCTAACATATTATGATCCTAATCTCGAAACAATCACTACGTCTGATGCTTCAAACTAGAGACTTAAGGCAGCTATTTTATATATTTAGTTAAATGACTCTCAGATTATTGTAATTGCGTTCAAAGCACTATCGTATTCCGTAAAAATATTACGGTTAAATGGAATAAGAAGCACTAGTAAATATTTTTCTGGTAAAAAATTTCATGACATGATCTATGAACGACGTTTCACACTATTAACATTTCATAAACCTCTATAAATTTGTGAACTCAACGAAAAGCATTCCAATATCTGATGCGAATTGCGTTCACGGGTGGTCGTGATCTTACTATCAAATACATGTTAACAACCAGTCTTGAACAAACTGATGCGTTATCGAGATTAATCAACTCAAACTGGCCAATCAGTGAGGATTATGTTGTTAAAGCAATAGCAATCGAAGGAGAAGAGAAATTAGTTATGTTAGATTCGATTAACGCCTTTCCAGTCACTGTAAATATGGTTCAGGACTCTAAGAAATTGGGCTATGGACTTAAGCAGGTTGCGAAGTATGTGCATGACGGTTGGCCAAACGAATCCCATAATGGTTTAATAGAGTATTTACGTCAACGTGGTATAGTTCCTATCACCAACTAATCTGTGTTGTTTGGGAACGCTCACTTGTTCTCACAACCCTAAATCCCTAATACTAAGACAACTACTCTCAGGTAACCCTGGGGTGAGGCTTTTGAATTCATTGGCACAGAGATATGTATATCGGCCACTAATGGATAAAGACATCGAAAGCATGAGAAAGAAATAATCACAATGTGCTGAAGTTGCAAAACTACCGCTGAAAATACAGATGTTCCCATGATCACGTGCAGGAAAGTCATGGTCTCGTGTTCATGTTGATTCCGCTTGGCCGGTAAATTGTCAACACTTTCTCATCATAATCGACTCGTCTACAGAATGGCCAGAGATTTATTTAGTGCTTCAGACCTCATGTCCAACAACAGCGGTGCTGAATAGGCATTTCGGACGATTTGGTTCACGCGAAACACTAGTTACGGACAATGGACCCCAGTTAACGAAGAAAATATTCTCGGACTTTTGTTGGAAGAACGCGAACACATGCATTCGGTCACTGCTCTACCATCCTCAGTTAAACGGTCAAGCTGAGGGTTTGTCGATAATTTCAAACAAGCTCTCATCAAGTTAAAAGGTAAAAAGTCATTCAGAAGTTCATGTGAGCATACAGAATAGCCCTGAACCCAGTATCACTTAAGTATGTCACCCCAGCTGAATCAGTGCTCAGACTTTATCCTACAGCGTGTATCAACAGAAAGGAAAATGAGATTATAAGCCCAGGGAAAGATCTAAACGTCAGTTACCTAAAGGGTTGTTACCGTATTTAACAAAGACTCAACAGCAGAGGTTTGTTTTGGTAGCGGCCATCGTATGAAGAGTAAGTAACGTGGTCTACAGAAACGAACTTAGAGGGAAATGGCTGACATGTGACGTAAACCATGTCCGTGATAGACGACTGATGTTGGATAAGGAACCTCAAACTCGAACTTGCCTTCAGATTACTCAGTCGTTATAGTTGGTTCAAACCAATAACATCAGCGCAAAAGTGACAGCGAGATCCAGAGAAAATGGTAGCCCCCTTAACGCCTTCAGTTAGATTCGAGGTGCACGACATTTTCAGGAGGAAGTGGTGATATATTGGGCCAGTTAGAAGTAGTCAAGTGAGAAAAACACTAAAGACGAGCACAAACGACCAGAAAGACAATTGCGTGCCATCGGCCAGGAAATGTATTCATTTTCTAGGGCTAGAAACGTATATATGTAAATGGATATTTCTCTGTAATATTCGGTAGCTCAATACACTTTCTCTTCCAGTTTTTTCTTCTTGGTCACGAAGCCATTTCTGGGGTTAGCGCGTAGCACGTTGCGCACAAGTATCAATTCCCGGACTCCGCCTGTCACAAAGGATCCCCCACAATGTTCTACTTGATATCATCGCTATCTTCTCTTTCGTGTTTTCTTCTTTCCATTACGTCTTAGAGTTTATCTGGGACTTGTATAACTACATTTTAGTAATCTTTGACAAATCTCAAACTACTTTACTTGGGTTGAGAATCGTCGTTGTGTTCAAATTTTTCCCAATTCCGTTACTGAAGCATGGTTGACTGACCCAATAGTAGGTAACGACTCAAATGACAACGAAACCGAATACTGGTTCAGGTACCAAAAGTTGTTCGTAGATTACAAGTAACCAACCCAAATATATTGTGACAAATATAACAATTATACAACAAAACGTCTGCTTTTAAATTTCCGGAGCAAAAATTCCAAAATTGTAAACTAAGACAGCAAAAATACCAGTGATGATAATCACTCGTGGACTGATAGTAACATAACTAAACTGTCTCACCGAACCAAACTAAACAAGGACACTTGCAACGATAAACCAATTCATCCATACGAGTAAAATACACAAAACTGGATGTTGTGGTGCCCAGTACTATATCAAGTCCTTATGGGTTATTCTAGCTTCCTTACAGACGAACTTATTTTTTATGAGTCACATCTTGACCTTGTTAGTTAATCGCTCTGCATGCTTTCCTTCTACGCTTTGCTTGGCTCTCCCGCTTTCCATTCTTAATGTCTGTCTGAATAAACGAGTGCCCGAAATAAATTCGCCCAACTCAACTCGTTTCTGGCTTCTTATTACCACGGTTGCACAAACAGGGTTAACCTAGGTGTAATATATGGGATCAAATGGAAGGTTTATATTTATGGAATATTCTTACGTTTAGCCAACTCGGAGTCAGATCAACAGGTTACTAAACTGTTAAGCCCTAATTCAATATTAACGCAACCTGTAAATTAAGTGGACGAAGAAAGTTTCAAACTCTGAGTATTTGATGAACGAACCCAACGTAAGCAACTTAGATGACTCAGTCTCTTGAGTCCGATGCAAGCAGCAAGCCAGTACAGCAATGACATGCATGCACAAATAGTGTCGTCTTATCAGTATATTGTTCAGAACGCCGAGTCTAGAGCCAGTCTCTCAAGGCCACATTCATGCTCGTTACATTCAAGTCGGTTTTATTCGTCCATCCTGCATAGTCCTATGAATATTAGTACTTCCTTTATGCCTTAGTACATTTTCTCAATAAACGAGGTCAGGCGCACCTGCCTCCGACGACATTAACCCCGCTACGCTTCACGATCAAAAATTAATACGACTCTGAGTATCTCATCTCCGCAGTCACTATTCTGTTCTCCTGATCATTCGATCAGTATATATTCAACGATAACTCGACGCATGACGTCATAATAACAAGGACAACGTATATTGACTTCGTATCTTGTAAACAGTACCAATTACAGTTAAACAATGAATATCATCCACAAAAGCACTTAGCATTTAACGGCTTCATTATGATCATCCTATACATGGAAACCCTATGATATGTAAATCCAAAACCACTGATTGTTAGTCAATGTTATTTACTCCGTCATGTTTTGTTAGCATATGTTCATACCTAGCTATTTGTGATGATTGGAAGCATTTGAACTATTATGCGAACTAGTAATCCCAGAAATACTTCAACTTAGATCAAGAAGAATTAGATGAGCATGAACGAACGTATTGTATTCGGAAATCGAGATCAGGCAGTCATTAAGTACAAAGGAATCATTAGTTCATACGAAGATCACACTATTATTTACATCAATTTACATATTTTTATTCGAATGAATTAAAAATTAATGTTTTACTTAAGAAGTCGATATTCAGTATTTTTCCGTTATCATGGTTGATCCTCTGTCACTGTATTTGTCCCTTTATTTTTTATCTCTCTTCTCCTTCTATATAAATTTTATCGCAAGACGTCCAAAATTTGTAGTTAAGACATTATATATA